ATAAAGTGTTAAAGCAGTTTCAGTATTTGGCCCATTTGACAGTACATCATCTCAGCCTGGTACTATGCATACATATCATTCTACATAACCTACTCAACCAATTTGATCTAATCCCAAACTTCTAAAGGGCAGAGGTACCCTGAAGAGGACTCCATCCTAACCTCCTGCTCAAAGCAGGGTCAATGCTGAATTCAAACCAAGCTCTGGGTTTTGCCATGTTGAATCCTGAGAAACTCTCAAGACAAAGACTACACAGCTGCTCCTGGTCCACTCCCACACTCAACTGTCCCCATGGAGCACACTTCTATCAGCTGAGAACTTCACATGTCCATGTAATGAAAGCCTCTCATTCTTGCTCCATGCTTCTCAGTCAAGACCCTGAAATTATCTCCTCAGGAACCTCCTCTTAAATAGCAAAAGGCTGCTGTTCAATCCCATTTTCCCCCTAAACACCACTTGGCCAGGCTGGATAAGCCCATTTCACTTAGCTTCTCCTCACAGGTCCTGAGCCCCAAATCACTTAAACATCTTGGCAGCCTCCTCTCGGACTTGAACGAGTTGATCAACATCTTGAGCCCAAAACTGGACCCTGTTCCAAAGGAGAACGAATGCCAAGCAAAGGGGAAAAAAAAAAAACCAACCTATTTCCCCTCATCTATTGCCTATGCTCCTGTTAAGACAGCCCAGCATGCTGTCAGCCTTCATCGTGGCCAGGGCACGCTGCCGGTAACGTTTAGCTGCTAACCGTTTTGGACCGCCAGGTACAGGACTATATTTACGCTTGTTGACAACAGAACTATACGTGAACTTTTTTTGCTGAACTGGGAACCTGAATGAAAGTTTGGTTTTTTTTCTTCCTTAAATTTACAACAACAAAAAAACCAAGGCAGGCATTCAAAGCATTGATATACCACAGCAATTCTTGCCTTAATACAGTTTACAGATTACCACCTCATTTATTATTGCCAAAGACTCTATGGTGCATTAAAAATCTCAACCTAATACAATCAAGACCTAATGCTAAGACCGACAGCTAAGAGTTTGCCACTTGGTTTTAGGTTTGAGTTCAAAGAAGAAGGTGCCTTCCAAATCACTCAGAGGAGAACTGCTAAGGCTTTCTTCTCCGCTGCTCATATCTTCACAGGAGTCTTCACTAGAAGGAACAGTAGGAAAGGTAATTTAAAAACAAAGCACAACACCTCGAAAGTGGCAAAATACTCTTCAATCCTGTGTTTCCTTGCAAGCTCTTCTGTTTCTAGTACAACATCCCAGATTAAATGCTTCTCAGCACTAAGGCTTGAATTATAACAAGGTACAATTTCTTCTAATGCCAAAAATCTCCTACCAACCAAGAAGCCGGTGTTCAAGGTGTCAAATATAAATTACTTCAGAATACTGAAATGCTTTATAAGCCTCCCTGCCTTAAAAAAAAAGGAAATACCTACCCCCCCACCCCACAGGGCACTTGCAGTTTTTGAACGCCACCATGACAGTTCCCTTGGTTTTTTTCTTCTGTTTGAAATATATTTTAAGTCCACCAGTATTTTTAAAGCTACCCATTTTTTTTTGTAAGTAGCACTGAATAAGCCTAGTTCTACAGACTTGCCATTAACATTTCCAGAAACTGAGCATTTCCAACAAGTTAATCACCTGGTATAAGTTTTACCAACCTCTCGCTTTCGTTGAAACATCCACCCTCCGGTATCGTTGGCAACTCAGGAACGCTGTAGTAACTGTTTTGTAGATTCTGGGCTGTACGCCTCGAAACAATCCAAACGAGCTTTTTGTGATCAGGCTTGCAACATTCAGGAGAAGCATAATCTGCTAGGCATTTCGAGACCAGTTCCCTCCAGTAAAGTAGGTCACTATCACTTATCTGAGAAGTGAAAAAGTATTTAGCCTATTACACACAGGCTCTAAAGATAAATCCCTCCCTCCGATTCACCTTCTCTGAAAAGACTTGGAAAAAAATCAGTCAATACAGAAGTGAGTCGTAGCTGTGGTACCTTTGTCAAAGTTGTGCTGCTTTTGAAGTTGAACTCCTATACACCTCCTAGACATATCCGCACTCAAGTTTGAGTTGACAGTTTGCCTGATCGCTTCCAATGGAAAAATGAAACCAGGACTATTCCATTTTAAAATGGAATCATCTCATAATTGAAGGATCTACTTCCCACCCTCAAGGAACTGGGATACTTTAATTTGACTCTAAGAGTGAAAAGCTTGTTTTACACCATCAACTGATAGGCGGCATGGAGCTAGAAGCCATAAATCCTACGTTAGTTTTTCAGGCAAAAAGAACAGCCAGCCCAGCAGTCATTGTAGTCCTGTGAATCGACTGGAAGCTTCTCTAGAACATACAGCTTGAACTGTACAAGTTAAATCAGCTGCTTGTTAAAGCATGTATCGTGTAGGCATTAGGTCAGCATTTCTCCTGATTTTAGACATTTAAGCTAGTTTTTTAAGCCATAATCCTTTTGCTTGCCAGGCAGCTGCCAAGATGTGCCATTGCAAAATGACTACCCGCCCTCATTCTCTAAGCAGCAGTTCTTTGCATTTGGCATTCTACCAGTGAAACCACATTTAGTTGCAAGAGTTGCAGACAGGTAAAGACCCATTTCGTTGCTCCTTTCAGCTGATGCCAAACAGTACCTGTGAAGATTCTACCCTGACAGCAGGGGTCCCTTTAAGCGATTAACCGCACCAGTCCCAGCAAACTGCAAAAGCCATCCGCCTAAAACGTTTACCTTAGAATGCTTTTGAACACGCAGAAGGATCTCAAACAGCTCAACAGATTTCAAAGTCTGAACTTCGAGAGTGAGAAGGCACAAGGCCAAGACAGATGGCTAGAAGGACAAAAAAACACCACTCAACATGACATGAATCAAAACCTACTCAGAAGTCAAAGAAAGCTACTTCTACTCACTTTTGCTTTAGAAAAGACTAGACGACAGTTGCAAGCTTTTAGCTGTGCTTCCAATTTGTCGAGATTCAATACTTCTTTCCTGTAAGACACCCAAGAGAAGCAGCATTTGTACCAAAAAGTATTCGCTTGTCAGGAAGTAAAAACTAAGGAGCTGCCTCCTCCGCAGCCAATGCCATAATCATTTAAGAGGCAACAAAAGAGAGAAAGGGCTTCGCAAACATATAGACCACCACCAACGTGGAATTAAACTCACCTTTCTGAGGTATGACAGAGTACAATAGTATGGTACAAGTGCAAGAAGGTTAAGGCAGTAGTAGCTTTAAATTCAAAGTGCAACTTTTCTGAAATTATCTTCTCCATCCGTTTCAGGTCGGACACAGTGCATTTACATTGGCTGATCCGGATGATCTCGTGAGCAGATGGAATATTGCATTCTTCTTCGACTACTCGGGCAGCCAGTTGGAAACAACAAACTCCAATGCAAGATAAATGCTTCGGTTTCACCTAGAGATAAAAGGAAGCACTATGAATACTTGCCCCCCTGCCCCTAAACACCATGCTTATCAAACAGCAACACCAACAGCTCACCCAGCCTAGGTGATCTGTTTTGAATATTCCCAGTTTGATCGAAAGAGAGATTTGCTTATCTCAACAAGACCCGACATCAGCCAGCTCGTACACCTCACTTAGTCATAACTAGTTTCAGCACAACGCAGGTGGCAGAGCCAATAAAGCAATACCAATCTGCCATAGCTAAGTCAGAGGAAGTCAAGTTCGACAGCTGAGCACCCTCTATTGAAGTTGTTCCACATCACTGCACAACAAACAAATTGCAGTGAGAACTGTAATACCCCGCTCCTCCGAGTGACAGCGCTCACTTCCCCTCAAAGCCTATACAAATCCAGCTTGAGCCCTTTCTAGGCAGTCCTATCCCTCCACAACTTGTTGTTTCTACCTCTGCTGTTCTCTCCCATGTACCAGCATAGCCGTTTTGTGCAACCTCAAGGACAGTCAAACCAGAGAACTGATGCAACTTTAGTTTTTCTGCCAACTTAGTAAGGGGGAACTGGTTTAGGGTCAAATTGTCGGCCATAAAGAGAAAAACATCCAGGAAACGATCATTTGGTCTTAGTTCCAGCCCTAAGCTAAGCTTTAACACAGCACTTAGAAATAGTCTGTAACAGAAATTGTTTTGTTCCCTCTTAATTCCTCCTTTCTTAGCCTTTTACATCTACATGGTGAAGGCTACAGACTTACTCGAGGAAATAAACCACGCATTTAGAGGTAAAGAGAGACCACAGTATAAAACAGCTAACAAATCACATTGCTGTAAGGTCATCTTTCATGCCAAAATTGACTCAAGTTCACAAAGAAGGACTTGAGAAATGTCACTAGCACAGAACAAGTAAATACCCACTGCTACTTCCTAGATCACAACCTTCCCCTTTTTGTCAGACGTAGAAGTTCACAGGAAGCTCACATATTCCCAGCTGACACTATAGCAGGTCCTCTCCCCCCCTAAAATACCTTCATAAGAGCCAGGAATCTGTCCAGAATGTTAACAGCCAAAACAAACGTTTCAGTTGCAAAACCAAAAAAGTTGGTCAGACTCCAAAGATCTTCCACCTTGGCGTTCCTTTGTCTTGAACACAGAGTATTTTCATTCTATGGCAAGAGAAGCAAAGTCAAAATTATTCAGTGGCAGCAGCGATGACTGTGACCGCTCGCTCCTGAAGTCATCCTTTACTTAGATCAAAGGGAAGCAATTCTTATCTTCCGTAGATATTTTATTTCTCATAAATTAAAAACTTAATTTAGGTACTTGAGACTCAAAACACACCCAAGGTTCATGGATTGCAGCCAGGTCCTGAGTCTCGCCGGTACAATACCCAGCACAACCACATCTCCAATAAATCACTTGTCATTTTAAGACAATAGCTACCAAGTGCGTGCATATGCAGGGATTCCTGACCTTATCAAAACAGAGATGACCAAACCCAGCTTATCCTCATCTCTGCCTGCATGTCAATACTTACGCAACAGAAGTTCTGCTTTCAAAATAGAAGCAGCAGACTGATTTCAGAGACTCGCTTTGTTAAACATTAAGGCCTTCCCAAAAAATTCACAAGCATCTGAAGGAACGTAAGCCTGCCCTAAACTCAGCAAGGAACTTTGGTCATTAAGATGGAAATGTTTATGCTTGGTTTATTTTTCTGGCTGTTAAGCACCAAATGCTTCTAGGTTCATTTCCCTAGACCTTGCTAATGAGAAGGTGGTCACTTCCCCATTTGTTCATCGCCTGCCTGACATCCCAGCTTTAAAATAATACACTTCACTTGGTTGTGCGTTCGAAGTTTAAACACTAAATACTTAACTTGGTCATAGTTCTTCGGTAACGTAGCTTGCAGCTACTGACGGAGTTAAAACAAAAGGCAGGCGGTGTTTACAGAGGGAAGAGTTAGCCTGCCGAAGCTATCGCAGGTCTCCCGAGCGGCTCGGAGCCGGTTATTCCCTGCCCCGCGGAGACCGCCA